GAACATGTAAAATACTAGGCAGTTTTGACAGTGATTACTGCCAGCTGCTCACATAACATAACTTTTATGCACCCACCTTCATTGTGACTCTCAATAATAGTGATTACAATGTGACAGTAGGATGATGATCTCCCCCGGATCTCTGAATAATCTCCAATCAAAGCTGCTTGTTTGGTAGAAAAGGCTTCTGTATTCGATAGGATTTCAAATTAAGCATGTGATTAACTCACTGAGAGTATCCAGCACTCTAAGATGTGAAGGGTCAATAGCATTTGTCGGGTCAGGGAAGAATGATGATGAGATGATAAAGATTTGGTCTACTGTGCACTAGTATTTAACATTAGGGGCATGGCACTGAAGTGAAGCAATGATACCAAATATGGCAGCTCACCTTCAACAACATTGCACAAATGGTTACTTCTTCGAACCCATGAGGCTTGTTATAAGCTTCAAGCCTTTTGGAAAATTGCCAAGGGAAACAGAGATCAGTTTGTGTTAATCTTCACTTTAGTATTGAAAATTAAACCCACCACATGTCTGCAAATAATGAAGGACAGTGATGTGATCAGGCAGAATGATACTAATTGTTTGAATTTATTATTTCATTGCTTATACTCATAAATATATCTTTTCACTTACGTGCAACAACAGTGAGTGGAAGGACAACTTGAACCTACCAGTGTAGGTTCTCCCCTATTGAATAATTCAGGATCTATAAATAAAGACTCCATTGATAAAACATACATGGTTATGAAATATAGAAAGCAAGATTATTCCACATCTGACGTACAAACTGAATCACAATGAGATCCAGCCTGGAGGACCAATGGAGCAGGCCTAGGCTTATCCAAGTCCGAGTTATCAGATGAACTTTCGCACCAAGGCCCATTATCACCAGGGTCAAATCTACAACCATTCTTGCCTATCACCCCAACTCCTGCATCCTGTGGGGTGTTGCAGATAGAACCAATCTGCACATCAACTGCCTTCAGATGTGCCTGGGCCAAGTCCTGTTCATCCCCTAGGATGGTGTTCATGAGATCTAGTTCATGGGAGTGAAGACGTTGATACCGCATTCTTGTGGTAATAGCCCAGCAAGTGATACGTGAAAGTTCGAGCATGTGCTCATCAACTAAGATTGTGACTTCTGGTGATGGCGCAGAAGTTTGGTTCCACTTTTGAGAGAAAAAACAATGAATATTAGAATGTCTGAAATTCCAATGAACATACCATAGTTTGGAGGGTCTTGAATTTTTTTGTAGGTGGGATTGAGTCCTCATCACAGACACCACCTTGAAATAAGCTATATGGAATGGCACACTTCTGGCGACCACTGTTACCCAAGGTCTTCCTTGGCACTGTCATGCTAAACTCATGAATTTGAAGGGCAGGACCATCAGTAGCAGTCTTTGTGTGTGATGCAATAGGAGAGCTACTTGCAGGAGGAGAGCTACTCACAGGAGGAAAGCTACTTGCAGGGGGAGAGCTACTCGCAAGAGGAGAGCTACATTTGGAAGGGGAACTACTAGGTGCCATAGATGTAGGTGGTGTGGTCGCTGACCTACAAAATATAGTGAGTGCCAAGGATGGTGACTGTCCGTCATTGAGTTAACAAACCTAGGCTTATTAGAATCTCTTCTTGATTCTGAAGAGCTGCTCATCATATATATCAATGCTGTTGGGGTGTGTCAGGTTGAACCTAAACTAAGGAATCAAAGGGATGGAATAGACGGCAACCTCAGGCTATGGCAACACCTTCCTCAAGCTGGTGTTCGAAACATCATGGTTAGTCATGAGTGTGATGAGTGCTGGGGAAGCATCATGTGGTGGGGTATGGTGTGGATCATGTGACACCTACCAATAAACACATTCTGAGTATGGTACTTAGTACTAGCTAGGACTTCATACTAGTAGAGTCAGGCTGATATCATGATATACACATAAATGTTTCTGAGGAGAATGAGAAGCTTAAGCTTTGAATAATGTGTATCGCATTAATAGGGAATTTAAAAAGATGGCAAGTCATTGAACTCATCCTCAATCTCATGCCCATCCTCTTCACAGCCATCTTCAATTTCACTTCCCTCATCTTCCCATTCCTCTTCCAGTTCCTCATTGCTAAACTCTTCATCGCTTGCTTCCTTCTCATCATCGTATCCTTCATAGCCCTCACTGTCACTATCCTCTCTGTAACCAACATCCCCCTGGAGCATGACACTATTACTGTTGTCTACAGCGTCCACGATGCTGGATGGTGATTCATTTCTGAGAGAGTCTCTAGCTATCATGCGCAACATTGCTGGGTATCCCATACCCAACTGTGTATACCACATAAACATATCTCAATCTACGAAACTTATGTAGCGGTTAGGAGCAGGACTGCAGCATAGATGAGTATTCACACTCACATGCCAACACAATACACCTCCCAGTCATCTAGAGCTCCATCTGGATGTGCCAATGACTTCCCACCTCGAAGTGAACTAACACCATGCCCCGAATTGAAGGCTGGGATCAGATGCGCTCCTTGAATGACCTGCCCTGGATCAAGAAATCCAAATGTGTCTGTGTCTGACTCATCCACAAAGGCCACCCTTGGAAGATGAGCACATTTCATACCAGATTTATGGTTCCTCAGCAGGGCCAACCATCTAACCCAAAGGACCTCTAGGTGATGCTTCACAGGTGTGCCCCCATTGTTGAGCCACATTTCCATATGATAGATAGCCAACACGTGGGCATACCAATATGGGTGGTTAGGTGCAGTCTCTCCCAAGAGTACCATGATGTCGCCATGTGTTCTGGGGTTGATTGTGTCATACTTGTGCCTCATGTCATATGTAGTGTAATGTGCTTGCATCGTCTGAACAGCATAGATTGTGTCGTTAGGAATAATGACCAAGTTTCACTCTTTGTCTGTGAACACATGGTTGCAGTAACTGATATCAAGCTTGCACAGCCTATACAAAAGGTGATCTTTAAGTTTTGGTATAAAATTCTGGAATCCACTCATGAGTACAATGCATTTCAAACAAATGCAATATTACTGCTACCTTGAGAGCCAGATTATCAGTGTGCTCTTGAAGGAGTGTGAATAGAGGGACTGTATTGTTCTGACTGACCGCAATATGGTGATGCTTTCCAGAGGAGGGTGCATCCACTGGAGATAGACTGATAGAAGGGGATGTACCCCCCACTTCTGCAACCCGCTGTAGCACATGATGCCTGCACTCGTGTTTAGCTAACTGCACGGGGGTGTCAAGCTTGTTGGTGAGTGGATAGAAAGCCTTTAGAGCTCGGTGTGCAAGTTCTCCCTGTGCAAAGACTTCAGGTTTGAATTCATGGAATGCAGTCGATACACATGATTTGGGTGGTAAAGGAGTCAGTGGTTCCGAAGAATCTGATAGTTCTAATATAGTCTCCCATGGCATGAAACTTATAAGTTTTTAAATTGAACTTCTTCCCCCTGACCTTACTTGATTCTGGAGGAGCATTACCAGTTTCGGAGTGTTTCGCCAACCATTTTGCTTTCTCCTTTGGTAGCTCTGTTGTGTTAAAGGCAGCACAAGTGTGAGCCTGAAACTTCTGCAAATTTTGAGAGAGTTTCTTGAAGATTTCGTCAAGAAAAACCAAGGTGGAGTCGCAGTGTAACCTGAGTTTTGCGAGTGCATGCCATTGTGCAAATTGATAGAGAAGAGACTGGATAGCTGCATCGTGGTCAGGAGGAAACAGCCCTTCAAAAACTGGAATAGCACACTGGTAGGTATGTTAGTGAGCATAATATAAAATTCACAAAACTGAACCTGTACCTGTAATATGTCTTCAAAATCATGGGCAGCCAACTTTTTCATCTTGGAGGTGTTGATGGAAAATTTGTATATCACTCCATTACCATATGTTGGAACTTGACGAAATCTAGGGTTGGAATGAGTTGGCAATGGTTAGCAGGCAATAACACTCCATACACATTCTTCATACCTGGTGTCAAGGGTCACAATAGCTTGAGCACCTCCAGGAAGGGCATAAAGAAGCCTCAAAAGGTGCATAAATAAAGCTTTCCAGGTCCCCAATTTGCACTCGTGCATAATGTCAACAACGAGCATATGAAATGGATCAAGGCCGAGCGGTCCGAGTTTATTAATGAACTGATTCTGGGAATACTGGTTTGAGCTAATCATCCCACTATGGAACCAGTCTCATTTACCAGAGTAGGCACCCAGGAGCCCTCTCTGAGGGCGTCTTCAACCTTGGCACCATCTACAATATTTCCCAGTTGATAGATAAACTCATGAGCTTTGATAACCTTGGCCATGGCATATACTTGAAGGTTGGTAAGGCGGCTTCTCATATCCTTCACAAGACCAAGATAATCAAACAAGCCTTTTGGTACGAGGCAGCGAGGGCACAGGCATGAACCCATATCTTTTATGGTTGCAATTAGAACCCTGGAGATCTATGAGCCATGTTTTTAACTAGCGCAATAAAAACATACTTCTCCAGATAATTGGCAGAATACATGAAGATGCGAGGGTATATTCTCTGCATCACTCCATCAGTGCATTTCAGAACAAGACCGTGTCGATATGCCTAAACAAAATCTTCATCCAGTAATATTTCCCAGCACGCATGGAATAACTCCCTATGGCAGTAGGTGTGGATGGAGGCCATGCCTGTTTTTGATACTCAAGGCAAGCTACTGATAACATCTTTGATTTTATCAGGGAGCTGATGAGAAGAGTCAATGTCCACGTCAACCAAGAACATGCAATCAAAATACCCACTGACGGCAAGAATCCAATGAGGTGACACACTCCTGATATTGGTGATGAACGTATATATTTTGTTAGATTTCCGAAGTACACATAGAGTGGCCAAGCTTTTGTGGTTCTGAAGTTCACCAGGTGTGTTGCGTCGGAAAAGAGCATTAGCCCTGTGACGACCCATTCCAATGAACAGCCAGGCTCTTTTGGTTGCTTGTGAATACTGTCCTGCACTTCCAATCAGACATCTGAGGTGTAAAGTTCGTCATATATCCGCTCTTTGTGTCCGTCCAGAGGGCTCTTCCACAGATGTTTGAAGGGCATGAGATGAAATGCTGCTGCTTGAGCATCTCTGAATGCCCCACGGATAACATCAACCAGAGGGCAGTAGTGAAACCTGGGAATGGTATAAGGCCTGGGACTATCCCCTTTTGCCTTCATTGGAATGTTGATAGTGACAGACATCTCGATCCAGTCATCCAGAAAATTGATTCTCTTCCCGCTCTCATCTTCATCTAATTCTCACAAGCTCTGCCTTACTGAGAACCCCTGAAGGTGTTCAGGGTCAAAATCCTTTGCCAGCATTATGTCCTTGACGAGGGACACAACTTTAGATTCCGATACTTGACTGCTACCAGAATTCATCCAGGAGATGAGCTGATAGATCATCATATTTGCAAAAGGATATGGGGGAGCATAGACCTGCGGTGGAGAATCACTGCCTTCAGCAGCATTGGGACACATCCTTGCAAGTAACAAGGATGAAACGAATTTATCCAGCTCAAAAGAAGGGTGATGAGGGTAAAGTCTGCAGATACCAAATGAATTAAAGGTGGTCTGAAGTGTATCTGCAAGTGTTAGAAGAAGGCATCGGATCCTAGCTCAAGCTGGAAGGGTACCAGAATTTTGAGTCAACGCATTGTGATTGTCAGCATTATCAGAGATATTGAGATCCTCTTCGGAGTGATTGATGTTAACATAATGCCTTGGGATTCATCTGACAGGGCATGCCCATTCATCTGAATGAGTAAAGTGATTAGAAAGCTATGACTGCTATTCAAAATCATATGAACCAGAGGTATCTATGTTGATATTCATCTCAATGTCATTATCATTTTGTGGGACATCTGTTTTGATGCAGTGCTGGGGGTCTGCAAGACTGGGTTCAGGTGTATCAAATATGTGAGAAGCAGACCCTCTCCTCTCCTCTGCCAGTGACCAGTAAGCAGCAATTGGTTTCAGATGGCCATGTTAAGAACCATGCTCAAAGGAGAGAGAGACTGACTCAGAGGGGCTTGGCCTCAGCTTGTACGCTGTGCCCCTTACCCGAGTATGTGCCCTTCATTTCAGAGGAAGTCCGATGATGGTCCAATGAAGTCCAGAGGCTGGCTACTCTGGTGGAGAGTGCGGGAGGACTTCCGGAGGAGCGCAGGAGAGTTCCGGAGGAATGCAGGAAATGCTCAGGAGAGTTTCCCACTGCAAGGTAATACTTCTACAGGAAAACAGGATGGAAGGATAGGATGTCCAGAGGTCCGGAGTATGGAGGACAGAATGTCTGAAGGTACGGAGGATGGAACATCCGGAGGTATGGAGGGTGGAACATCTGAAGGTACAGAGGACAGGAGGTCCAGAAGGAATAGGGGCTACATCAGACGAAGTCCAATGCAGAAGCAAGCAGAGGTAGACTACCCTAAGGTAGAGTCGGAGGGACGGGAAGTGGACCTAAGTCCGGAAAGAGGGTAAGTGCCAGAAAGGCAAGACTCCAGTCTAGGGAAGCAATCCCTAGACTTGGGACAGAGACATAGGGGACAAATCCGAAGGTCCGGAATTCCGGCCTAGGGAGTCCATCCCTAGGCCTTATGGAAAAGGACGAGACTCAGATGGACTGAAGTCTGGAAGATGATTGGCAAGTAGAACAGGATCTAAGATGAGAGAGCAAGAACTAAGATGATATTCAGACTGAGGACTCTACTGTAGTTGTACAGGGGTTATATACTAGAAACACATTGGTAAGTAAGATGGAACATATGTAAATGAACTCGGAGATGAAACTAGTACAAGGATCAATCAGCAAGACGGAAACAGAGATAACCAAGAACCAGAAAGGTGGAGATGCCTAAATGGGGATAGGTGCAGGATCTCGGACAGAGGGTGGGAATAGGTCCGGAGATCTGGGGATCCGGAAGGCAGGATGGAAACAGGACTGAGATATGTGAGGTGGTGGATGTAGTCTGGAATCTGAGAGGAGGTAAAGTCCGGATGTCTTGCTGGATGGAATGTGCATAGGGTGGACAGGATAGGGGATCCAGGAATGAGTTGGATATGGGGTCCGGAAATAGGTCCGGAAAGCGTGGGAATATGATGGGATCTATGTCTGGCATATGGGATATAACAGGCCAATTCTCTGATGTTGAAGTTCGTGTGAGTTAAGAATGACCACAGCAGCTAATAGGATCACTTACATGTGAAGGGTTCACAAATGGCCATGGCAGGTCACAGTTGAGAGCCAAATTTGCAGCAACAGACTCTTTGGCACATTCCCATCTTTGTTGAGTTGCAAGCAAGCTAGACTTCTTGTAGAAATGACATGAAGTGCGGTGCCTGCTGAGCCCATGTGCATCTGTTGCCTTTTCCCAAGAGCAACCTATAGAACCACACAACACCATAAATATAAACAAGCTTGAGAGGACAGCGACAATCCAAAGAGATCCTGCGAGGCCCAGACACATTGCCCTTTGGAGTTGCTAGCAACTCGATGATGCAGCTAGCTTCAACTCCGAGGCAGCAGCAGTGGTAGTAGTTGGTCAAGTCTCTTAGATGCAATGTTGTTTATGGTTCTTCAAAGTCGGTATTAGTGCTAGCTAAGGTCTGATTGAAAAATAGTTTCGAGCTCACTGGGACTTACTTGTTTTGTACTGCCAGTGCAGTTATGGTAGTGGTGACAAGTCAGTAATGCTCAGGCTATGACATTCTATCATGCCGCAGTCGTGATTCCTGAGGAATGATATCACGATAGTCCTGCCTCGAAGCCTCTGCATTAACTGTGTTCCTCACTGCCTACAGGCAGTGCATGAAAAAATGTTCCAAGCACAGTCATGATACTCCCAAGTCAATGGTTCTGGTGCACCCAAATCGACTTGAACTCCCCAAGAACTGCAGCAATGTACTACTATTAATACAACTCGAGGCTGTGCCTACTACTGTCAGCTAGTGAGTATTTGAAAGCCCATCAAGCCACAGGATGACTCACCATGACCACAATTCCCTTAGTATTGGTTATTGGTAAGATGAAGTGGACTCGGACTCAAAGTTCGACCATTGACGTGAGTAGTCTCCATGGTCGTGTTCTGAGTCTGACCATTCCGCAGTTTGTAGATTCTGGCGATTGAAAAGTTGTTTGAATGACTTTTTGTGCAACTGATATCATAAACTGGTGGATGAACAAGTCCTGCACTTTCAAGGCTACTACTTTCACTTGGATGAGTATAGACCTCAAGGAGTCTAATACTGAGTCAGGGTTAACATATCCGAGGTCATTCCCTAGGGTGAGGACTATGATAATTTGAGTACCTCCAATTAATATTAACGCTTGACTTTTGAGATTCTGATACGAGTGCTTGCTTCTCATGCAGGAAGTTCAGATGTTGCCAACTATTCCATCCCTCTGATTCCTTCTTTGAGGTTCTCACAACCCGATACACCACAACAGCATTAAGATATTCCTGATGAGCAGCTCTTCAGATTCAAGACAAGGTCCTAAAAGGCCCAGGTTTGTTAACTCAATGACGGACAGTGCACCCCCACTCACTACATTTTGTAGGTCGGCATCCACACCACCTACATCTGTGGCGCCCAGTAGTTCCCCTCTCAAATGTAGCTCTCCTATGGTGTCACACACAAAAACTGCTACCGATGGTCCTGCCCTTCAAATTCATGAGTTTAGCACGACAGTGCCAAGGAAGACCTTGGGTAACAGTGGTCGCTGGAAGCGCACCATTCCATATAGCTTATTTCAAGGTGACATCAATGATGAGGACTCAGTCCCACCTACAAAAAAATTCAAGACCCTCCAAACTACGGTACATCAATGTCTTTGCTCCCATGAACTAGATCTCATGAAGTCCATCCTAGGGGATGAACAGGACTTGGCCCAGGCACATTTGAAGGTGGTTGATGTGCAGATTGGTTCTATCCACAACACCCTACAGGATGCAGGAGTTGGGGGTGATAGGCAAGAATGGTTGTAGATTTGACCCTGGCGATAATGGGCCTTGGTGTGAAGTTCCTCCAATGACTTGGACTCAGATAAGCCCAGGCAAGCTCCATCTCAGGCTGAATCTCATTGTGATTCAGTTTGTATATCAGATGTGGAATAATCCTGCTTACCTATATTTCATAACTATGTATGTTTTACCAATCAAGTTTGTATTTTTAAATCCTGAATTATTCAATAGGGGAGTGCACATAGCCTGGCCACTGTCTGCTATTACTACCATTTCTGGCAAGTCAGTGCTCAGTTCTTGCCTAAATGTCTTGTTTGCCTCACATCGCACTTCAGTTGCCTCTTGGTGGTTTTTCACAAGGTCCAAAGCTACTACAAGGGTTTGAAGAAGTAACTAGTTGTGCAACGTCGTTGAAGGTGAGCTGCCATATTTGGTATCATTGCTTCAGTTTTGTGTTCAACAATTAACTTTAACTTTGAAATACTAGCACGCAGTTCTGGCCGGGTAGGCCACATCTTCCCATCATCATTCTGCCCCTACTACTAGTAGTACCATTAACTGTTCACATCATAGAGTTTCAGATACCCCCAGTGAGTCAAGTGCATAATTCATTGGAAATCTTATTGAATACAGAGGCCCCAGATATTTTCTACTAGACGAGTCACTGAAGATGATTTGGAGATCCAGGGGAGATCATGATCCTACTGTCACTATCATCATATTGAGTTTGCAATGGAGGTTGGTGTGTAAAACTTATGTTTGGCAGTAATTACCATCAACAGCGCCTGGATGCCTTCAGGCTAACATCATTCCCCTATCATGATAGCCAGGTTTCTGGTAAGTTTGCATGAGGTCCACCTGACATGTGAAGTCCAGGCACACCTCAGCTCAACGTTGACCTTCTCATCTTGGACCAGTGTTTGATGATTTCATGATAGTGCAGCCATACAGTGGCTCAAAAAACTGTCCACATGTTTTTGCATTTTTTACTATTTACAATATTGTGTGAGAATACAAAAGACCTCA